ATAATATAATATAATATAATATAATATAATATAATATAATATAATATTTAATGTCTAAATTGTCTGAATATATCCCTGATGTTCTATATCATGGCTAACATCCCTGTGGATGAATTATATCTAAATGTGATTAATAAGGAATCCCATTTTTTATGGTATTGTTGATGGTTTGCTGGTTTGCTGAGTTTCTGGTCCCTTACTTACAGTAGAAATGTGGATAGTTAACACACTTTCTTTTTATAGCATTTTGCATTACAATATCTGCTATTGCTAACCCATCTTAAATATATATTATAATTTCTGCTGAGAGATTTTTAAAAATACAATCTCAATATTTTTGGAATGTAACATGAAAAAAAAATAAAAGTAACATTTACTTTTATGCCAGCATCTTCCAGCACCTCACATTTCCTATCGTATATCCTATATAATCCATACAAAGACCCATAACACTTTTATTTTTCTCTTTATTCTCCCCATTTTCCTCCCCCAAATATCAAGGAGAATGAATGAATGAATGAATGAATGAATGAATGAATCATCAGGCGAATCCTTTGGGAAGCTTGGCAGGGAAAGAAGGAGGGAGAGTGGGAAGAGTGTCTTTGGGATTTGCCAGGAAAAATCCAGGAGGTGGATGTCCATCCTATTTCTGTTCTTTAAGGAGATGAAGGTAGGGAGCAGAGGCAAACCTTCCAATCCAAACATAAGAGAAAGGGAATCATCCTACAGACCCTTAGCACCCCCTTAAATGGAAGAAGTAACCACACCTCACCTTCATCTCCTTTTTACGGGCCTTTGTACGGATTATATAGGATAAACGATGGGAAATGCGAGGTGCTGGCACAGCAAAAACAAGCTACCGGCATAGGATCAGAATGTTCTGGGCTCAGTAATGTCTTTTTAACAAAGTAATCCCAAGAAACATGAAGGCGGAGAAGATGCTACCGGGAGGGGGGGGGAGGAGGAAGCTGCTCAGCCAATTTGTATTCTTAGGGAACTGACGGAGGGAATGAGAATAAAGAAAACTTAAAAGAGGGGGAAAAGGTCTATGGGGGGTTTGGGGCAGCTGGAGCAAGAGGAGAGTGCCCGACCATACAGGTGAATGAGCCAAGAGAGTGCGCTTGAAGAATGCGGGCAGGAGGGACAGACTCCAACAAGACCGTGACCCGAAGCTCTGCGGCAGGAAGCAAAGCAGGGCGTGGGGGGAAGAGAAATGATGGCATCGCTCTCCTGCCGCCGCTTCCACCCACCGAAGCCCAAATGACTCACTGACTTGCAGGACTTTGTCAACACAGCTATTGTCAAGCAAAGCAATGGCACTGTGGACTTCCAGTTTGAGTTCCTTCACTGACAGACCGAAACCGCAATCATGCGCGGTTTCGATCTGTGCTCACCGCCGGAGCACCCTGAGCCGGCTGGTTTCGGGGCTAAGCCACCCCATAGAGTGGGGAGACTGCCAGCATGGTTGAGGAGAGCCACATCTCTCCTCTTCAGCTGGCCATTACTCCCTTTCCTGAAGGCGGTTGCAGCGGTGGTCAGAAATGGCCACCTCAAAGAAGAACTCGACCGGAAAAGAATGTGCAGGAGGAAGATAAGAAGAGAAAGTTTTGGTTGACTGGGTTAAACTGCAAAAGCAACAACATAAGGTACCCTGGAATTTAAACTATATAAAAAAAACATTGTTCCCAAAGATTTTGAAGCAGCGAAGAAGAGAGGGAAGAGAAAGGATTTGTTATTTTTTCTTCCCTTCCCGATACTGACAGCTAAGAGACTTAAGCAAGAAATTGAAAAAAAATCCACTTTGACATCAATAGGCATTTAAGCTGAAAATAAAATGTCAATGGGATAATAAAGATTTCTGGATACTTAAAAGCTTTTAAAAGCAGGAAAGGAGAGAAAAAGAATAATAGGGCAGGATCTGGAAAAATGGAGGAGACTGCCTGGAACTAAAAGGAATTTACAGTGAAACTTCAACAAGATACAACAAATTTAACTGAAACTTGGCAACAAAATAATAGAACCTCAGGAAGAGAAAGTGGAAAAAAGAAGCAAGAAGAAACAGCTTGGGATTATTTGGATTACTTGGTGATCTTTGGATTTTTGGTTATTGCATTTAAATGACTAAAATCAATCAGGTGGTAGTTTAAAAGTGTCTAAAATGGCACCAATTTTAGAAGAACTGAAAATGGAACTTAAAAAGTACAAAGAAGATGCACAAGAAGGGAGAGGTTCTTTTGGCTTCGTATTTCAACTCTTAGAAATGGAGATCTGGAACTTTGAGAAGCAACAGGAAACACTTGCAGAACAAGAAGATTGGGACAAAGAAGAAGCCATTTTTAATGATCAAGTAATTTTATGTGGGGGGAAAAAAGGAAAGGGGGGAAGAGAATGAAAAGTTTAAGATTTGAAAAACAAAAATAAAAAGAAGAATAGTTTGAAAAATAAGTATAATATTAGAAAGCAACAAAAGAGGGGATTACAGAAGAGAAAATTAGAAGTAGAGAGACAAGGGGGTAAAAAGGGGATGAAGAAGAAGAGGGGGAACCAGGAAAGGAAAAGAAGTTATAAAGGACAGAAACAAGATATAGAGAAACAGGGAAAAGGTATAAGAATTGAAAGTATAAGCCTGTTTAGAGATAATGGGTGAAAACTTAATTGTAAAAGGGATTCTGCAAAGGTACATAAAATAGTATTGTTATATTACAAATAGAAATAATTTTAGAAAATATGATTAAAATGATGGATAAAATATTTATCGTAATCTAGTGGAATGTTTGTTAATAAATAAATGAAATAAATGAAATAAAGTGAATGAGAGAATTAAATTAGGAAAGGATGGGAACATTTTAATTATTATTAATGATTTATAAAATATAAGTGAAGAGAAATATGGGGGGGGGGATTAATTATCGAAAGTTTATAAGTGCTCCCAAGGAAGTATGATATTTAATCGAAAAGAAATGTTAAAGATGTTAAGATTTTAATGAATATTAATGATAGGATTGAATTGGAATGGAATAAGTGCTTTATTTACATACATACATACATACATACATACATACATACATAATCTTTTTTTAAGAATATAGTGCGTATTTTAAGAATGTACCAAGCAGAATTCGATTGGAAGTTATGTATTATATTGAATGTTATAATCTTAAAGGTATACATTGAAGCTTAAATAAGAGTTGAATGGATAAAATTAAAAGTTATAAAGGTGTCATACTCCAATTAGTAACTACAGGGGAAAATTTGTTTAATGAGAAAAGATAATATGAAATTGAAACAGGACAGACAAAAGTATAAATATAATGATTTGAATTGAGATGAGATAATCAAAATAAAGTTGAGAAAATTAAAAGGGGGGAAAAACTATGTAGAAAATGTAAAACAGTAATAAGATATGGAATAGAAAACAAAAATGAGCATGAAATTGAGTTTGCGTCTGTATGAAGAAGTGACAACCCATGATCATGCTATTTTCAAAAAAAGATGTTTTATTTGTATTATGGGGGGGGGGGGGTGAAAACCCAAATAAAATCCTCCACACACACAAAAAAAAGCAATAGCAGTGTGGAAGGGCAGGGGGTTCTCATCGGCAGCGAAGTCTGTCCCAGTGTTTTTGTTGGAGACAGTGCTGCCAGAAGCTACAGAGGCAGCTCCCCCACCCGAGGAAGTGGCTGAAACACTGCCGGCAGAGGAATCCTACCTGCCCTGCCACAATGTCAAATGGTAGCACTCCAAATGCGGCATAAGCTGTGGTGAGGGCAGAAGGGAAAGTGACGGTGGCGGAGGAAGCAGTAGCGGCCAACATCCATGACGATAATGCCCACCTGCTGACCTGGCCTGCAGCCAGCACCATACCTGGGTCTGCAGCAAAGGCACTTGGCAGGGGTAGGGAGCTGTCTGCGTTCCGCCATGATCGGCTGTTAGGAGAATTCTGGTGACAAGGTGTGGCTGCCAGGGGGCACTCTAGGAGATGGTGTGCATGGGGGGGAAATTAAGTCACCCCCCCAAAAAAGACGACCTAGCTGTTTTTTCAGGGTCAAAAAAAAATAAGGCCCAGCCTTATTTTATGAGAAACATAGTAGTATTTCATTCACTGATAAGTAGTTCGGCAGTAATTGAAATAAACAGTGCATTCAGTTATTGGCAGTGGTGGGATTCAAAATTTTTTATTACCAGTTCTGTGGGTGTGGCTTGTGGGCGTGGTGTGGCTTAGTGGGTGTGGCTTGGTGGGCATTGCAGGGGAAGGATACTATAAAATCTCCATTCCCACCCCATTCCAGGGGAAGGTTACTGCAAAATCCCATTCTCTCCCCACCCCACTAACCTGCTTTTCAGCTCCGTTCTCCTGTGCAGGGCAACAAAAGAAGACTCAGCTGATCAGCTGGGACTCAGGAGGAAGAGAATAGATGGGGGCGGAGCTACTCAGAGGTAGTATTTACCAGTTCTCCAAACTACTCAAAATTTCTGCTACCGGTTCTCCAGAACTTGTCAGAACCTGCTGAATACCACTTCTGGTTATTGGTCAAAAGGACGTGACATGTTAATGTTTGCAAATGATAGTGGAAGAAAGCTTAAATGCAATAGAATGTGAATACCAGTGTCTCAGCATGGTTTATATATACAGTATATCAAAGTTGTTACAATACTAAATCAACTAAATTAAGTTAAATTAATCTTTAGTCTGAATAAAATCAAATTGACATTAAGATGAATGAATAAAATCTAAACCCACAGTGGTAAATAAATAAGCAATCTAATATTTTGAAAAAGGAATATATATTTGAATATTAAAATGTATCAAAATTGCTACATTAAAATGTCTTTAAAATATAAATAATGTAACATTATTAATTTTATTAAATGAATGACTCAAATGTTATATTGTCAATCATAATTTCAATAGTTTTTCTTCAAAAAGAAAATATATTTGTCAATTAATTAGGCTTTGCTATTGAAATAATTGTAATCCTTTAAATGATAATCATAAATAAAGTATTTAAAAGCTTCCTGGCCAGAAGGTGCCTTTATTGGTCAATAATAAAATGGGTTTTATATTACAGAGACTGGAGTTAACTAAACTTTTCACTCTTAAACATTTAAACCTTTAGTGTTCCTAGAGATCTATAAGAACTCTCTTGGCTTTCTAGTTATTTTTATATCCTTTAAATTTTTGGTTTTGTTTAAATACATACAATACATAAACTGCCATATTAAGTGCTCGAACTCATTTTGAAAATAATTGCTTATATAAGATAAACAAAAGGACTTGTGGCCCCTTAAAGAGTGACAAATTGCAAGTCATAGTGATATGATTATCAATTCCACAAATTTATTAATACTTAATTTTATTTACGCAACTATAATAAATTTTAGGGTTCTTAAATTTCAACAAGATTCAGCTACTCTTCTGGAAAGGGCTTGTATGTATATTTTATTGTTTTAATCAATACAAACAATGATATATTTAATCATTACTAAATAAATCAATTAAAATAAGACCATTTGCTATATGTTTTTGAATAGTGACTGTGTTGCTCTTCTACAATAATTAGTTTTGTTTTCTTCCTTTTTTTTGATAACAGTCACAATAATAATAAGTTACAATACAATTATATTAAAAACAATAAACAATTTTGCAATAGTTCTTTTATAAAAATACCTTGCAAGATATGTGAGATAACTCAGTTGCAAAATGAAATATATAAGTAATCTTACATGTCTAAATCACAATATTTTTAATACTCTAATTTAAGGATATAAATACATTTTACAAAGACATTTTCTGAAAACCATACCCTTAATGATGGCTTATATACATTTTAATAAATAGCTTATTAGTTTTTCAATGTATCCATTCATCCAGAAGGCTATAGATATAAAAAAATGTTTTTAGCATTTCCAAGAAATGTATACAGTGGAAATATAGTTTTATGTAAACTACAATAGAATATATGGAATTCTTAACTTTGTAATGCAACTTGTACATTCAGAAAATATTCTGGAACTAATTTAAATGGAAAATATTCCTCAGGTATGTACAGGTCAATTTGGAGCTAATCATATTTTTACAAAGTCACAAAATATATATTCATTTGTATTAATATTTTTCCTTTATTTACTGCAAAGAGATTTTTAATATCAAAAAAGGCGTGTTGCAGAATCCTAACTGTAGAACTACTAATGGAATTTGGATTGCTTTTTTTCAATTTGCTTTCATTATTTCGCAATATATTTTTATGCCATTAGGATTTTGATACAAATTCCATAAACAGGATTTGCAACTCTATCTTTTATTCCTTCATTTTATATTACACAAGATCAGTGGTGGGATTGAATTTTTTTTACTACCGGTTCTGTGGGCATAGCTTGGTGGGCGTGATGGGAAGGATACAGTAAAATCTCCAGTCAGAGGTGGTATTTACCAGTTCTCTGAACTACTCAAAATTTCCGCTACCAGTTCTCCTGAACTGAATACCACCTCTGCACAAGATATATATAATTGTACAATTTAACAGGCAGTTATTGAAAGGGATTATTTAATAATTTAATAAACAGCACACTAATAAGCAACATAAATAAATATCTTCTTTAGAAAACTTTTTTCTTTTTTTGTGCCTTTGAATCAGTTGACTAGCTCCTGCACTTTTCTTGGCAAAATTTTGGAAATAGTTCCATTGTCTTCTTCCTGAGGCTAAGAGGGTGTGACTAGCCAAAGGTCACTCAACTGACCTTGTGCCTAAAGTGGTATTAGAGTGCACAGACTTCCAGTTTCTAGTCCATGCCTTAAGTACTACAACAAATTCACTCTTAGCAACAACCAATGTGATTTTCTAGAAAATGTTTTTCAAAATAGTGGCATCTGAGTCTGAATATCACAGGATATCTACTAATATATGCACATATATATATTTAAATTCAGTTTTAACAGATAGGCCTCCACCCATCATTCTCCAGGGACCTGTAAACCAGACATTGGCAGTAGATGGAACAGCTTTACTGAAGTGCAAAGCTACTGGTGACCCAATGCCTGTTATCAGCTGGCTAAAAGAAGGATTTACTTTTCTTGGCAGAGATCAAAGGACATCTATACAAGATCAAGGAACTTTGCAAATTAAACCTTTACGGGTGAGTATATGTTGTAACAACATATTTACCTTTCTGAAATCAAGAGAGTAATAGTTAAATGAGAACTGCTTAATTATTTATTGATTACACATCACATGTAGAAGTTTAGGTACTCTGGATTAATAAATCCCTTAATGAACAGAAGCTGACACAATTTCTGAAATATCTATTCCAATTTAAATGCATAGTTACTAAGTCTGTGTGTAGTTGTTTACATGCTCCAAATAAGAAAAACTGTGCATATGGCTAGTGCAGTTTTGGACAATCTTCCTATTAAATCAGTGTTCTTCCTCTTCCTCCCTATGTCTTCCTTTCTTGTTCTTTCTATAAGTGAAATACTTAATAAGGTTTTACAAAACTGAATTTCTAGGGCTATTGTGCAATTATCCAGGTTAAAAAAATCCTATAGGGAACAAGTACTCTACCTCACGAATTTTCAGGTTATGATTTTGTTATATTTATTTTCAACAGCCATGGCATCTTCTAAGCAGCTTTTCTAACTAGCAATTTTAACTATTAAGTAAAGTAAATGGGTTGCTGGATATGTTGAAATCAAGGCAATAGTTAAAAGAGTAAGAAAAATCTCCACTGGAACTGCTCAAATTTTGTTTATACTACCAGACAAGAACTACAGTTTAACACAGATGATTTGACAAAAATATAGCTGACACTGGAATGGTTATCCACAAATCCAGTATAATGAAAATAAGTGTTGTTTATACAACAGTAATCTGCATAGAAGACTTGACAAAGTTGTCCAACTTTATCACAAAAATGATTTTCTAAGCTATCCAAAAGATCTTGAATCTGAAATATTATGGAGCAAAATTTGGACAATGTGAAACAAAAACCAAACTCTTTGGGCACATCTTTAAAAAAAGGAAAGAAACATTTTGAGATAAAAAGAGCAACGCATTTGCAGAAAAGAACACATTGTCAACCATTAAATACATGGATGTCTATGTGTTAATAAACTGTAATAGCCAGTGGTATTGGAAGTATTACATTGGTGGAAGGAAAATGCATTCAACTAAAAGCTCAAATATATTTTGTCCCATAACCACCAAAGAATTCAGGTGAAAAGTAAATGGATTTTTCATCAAGATAACAATCTGAAATATCTCTCTCTCCAAATGAACTATAAAGTACTTACAGCAAAGAAAGATGAATATTTTTGAGAGACTTTTAAAGCCTCCAAGTTGAATATACCTAAAAATCAAAAAGCAGAGTTAAAGACTCAATAAATTAAAAAGTTAAAGACTCAATAAATGTAATTAATCAATAGTAAGCATAGAAATATTATTAGTTGGCCACAGGAAATTTTTGATGCTGTTTTTTTCTCTTGTTGGAAGCTATCATTTGTCAAAGAAGACATTACAAAGTTTACCAATGGTATTCCAGCTTTGTACCTGCCATATTCAATGTGTCCTCATTTTGTCTCTAAACAATTGTATATACTGTAAATAGCCATGCATTTACACTGTCAGAAAGCTGGGTGGTGTACTATGTAAAGGTTTTCAATTTCTATTCATTTAGGAAACTGGAATCAAAACAATGATATTAGGATATGCAAAACTGCCATTCAAGTAAATACATTTGAAGTGTTTTGGGTATGAAATACCTATGATCATGCAACAGAAATTTGTGTCACAACTATAGAAAGAAAATTGCGCTCTTTCTTTAATTCAGACTACATATAACTATTTCCAAATAGCAATAGCATTTAGACTTATATACCACTTCACAGTGCTTTACAGCCCTTTCTAAGCAGTTTAAAAGAGTTAGCATATTGCCCCCAACAATTTGGGTCCTCATTTTACTCACCTCAGAAAGATGGAAGGTTGAGTCAACCTTGAGCTGGTGAGATTCAAAGTGCCAAATTACAGTCAGCTAGCAGTCAGCAGAACTAGCCTGCATTCTAACCATTGCGCCACTGCAGCTCTTTATACTGCTTATCTTTGTTCTAAATAAAATAACATTACCCTCACTTTGAAGTAATATGGGCAGCCTATGAATTATATGAAAATATATTAATTAATTATAAAAACTCAAGAGTGGCATTGATTAAACTGTTACAAACAATATATTATATAATAAAAAGAAAGTTTGTGAACAGTAACGTATAATTATAAATTAAGTAATATGTATGGAACATGTGAAAAAATTGAAAGGAGACAAGTTTACTGATAAGCAATAATAAATAATAAAACATATCAGTAATTACCTCAACGTATGATGAATCCCACTTGTAGGTTTGGGAGAAAGAATACTGTTGCTTGGCTACAAAGTAGTAATCCTTGTATTTCAGTTGCTGCACATGATAACATTTTAACTCATACACTACTAACACATGAATGATACATTTTTATAGTTTTCCTTCCCAGAATACAAGTGAATTGATTCAAGGAACTTTATTGTTTTCCATCCCTTAATTTCCAAATCTTTAATATTTTCATTAAATTCGATTTATTCAAAACACGTTAGGAAATTACCTGCACAAACTAGAATAAGCATCCCAATGATTTGCATATAAATACTAGTTTCATTTATTATTAATTTGGGTTGTTGAATGCTTGCAAGACTGAAAAGACACTGTATGTCTCAAATAAATAAACAAACAAATAAATGTGCAAAAATGCTCCTGCTGATGGTTTTAGTTCTTCAGTGTTTCTTTTAAAATTTTGCATTCATATTTTGATATCTGTTTTCTATAAATCCATATGTTTACCCAGGCACATATACACACCCAGATGGACATATAAAATAGAATAGGCTGAACTTTAGATTTGATTTAAAAGAGATTTTTCACAATATGTATGAACGAACGTACATGCCTATTTGTGACTCATTAAAACAGGCACAATTGTTTGCAGAACATAATGCCATCTGTATTATATTTTTCTTTAAATATTCACATATATTTCTCCATTAAGTTAAAGAAAAGTGTGTTTCCATATCTACTTATGATACACGGATTTTATTTCTGCTGCTGCTGCCAATTTCCAGTTTTTTGGCTTCCCTACACAATTTCTCTCATTCAATAATTTACTATTAATGATTTTATGAGAAAATGCACAGGATGTTTCCCTTTTCTTATTCTAACTGAGTGCTTAAGTCGAATACCTTTTTATCAGATTACTCTGTATTCTATGTATATTTTATGTTAGTGATGTTTCTTCTGTTTGCTGAGCAAATTATTATATTTCTGCTTCCATTATTATAGATTTCAGTTAATTTTTTCAAAATTCTTCAAAATCAAAATTTAATCTATATTTTAATCAATATGTTGTAGTCCTTTCTTTGTTTGCTTCAGGGTGGTTTTGATTTAAATCAACTTGATTTAAATCATAATTTTTAGAGAGCAACTGTCATCTGTGTCCCGCAGTGGCTCCGCCTCTGGCCTGCTGTTGACTCACCGACAGTCCCATTCACTTTAATGGGATGGCTGGTGATGTGGCAGTGACATTACAAGATAAGGGATGTGGCAGGCAGCAGGTAAGTGGATGCCGTCTAAAAGGCGCTGCCATGATGGATCTGAAATGACAAGAGCTCTTTAATATTATATTTATAAGCTGCTTAGAAGATTTTCCTTTCATTTTTAGTGGTTGCCCTTCCTCCTCACACTTAGAGCCTGGTGGTAAAGATGCATTTACCTGGTGGTAAAGATGCAAATAACTATAGAGTTTGTAGTATACATAGATTTGAAAAACAATGGGATAAAGGAATATGATTTTTCTCATGGTTACTGTGAAATTGTGAAATGCATCAATGCAGGGCATGTTATCTCAGCTTGCAGAGCTTGGAGTCATTGAATTAGTTTACCAAGACTGTAAATATTGCAGAATATACATGCTACCTAACTAAGCTCCATTTCATGCTGAATAAACTAAATTATTAATGTATTTTAAATAGAAAATTATATTTAGGTATATTGTTACTTCAAAAGCATTTTATTAAAATAAATTTGATAAAAATAAAAAACTCCACTTTAAATCAAAAAATCCTATTTATATAAAAATATCTGATTTTTTTTTAAAAAAAACACCATTGATTTTTATCTACCCTAGTTTGCTTACTATAATCAACTAGTATTCTTCCATAGTTGTATTGTCTAGTATGGCACATTTTATTCAGTTTGTTGACTACACCTGTGTACTCTGCATCTTAATATATTGCTATATATTTTAAAATTATTTTTTATTAAAAACCAAAGCTCATATGGAATTTTACTTTTAAAAAATATCAGATTATCGCATCTGTTATGCAACATTATTGCGATATTTTTATGATTGACCTGAAGCAATCAACATCTGTTATTTCTGCTAAGGCTGTATTTTTACTTTAAGCTATGTTTTAATGTGCTATGCTGCTTTTTTTTCCTGAAGCTGTATTCCATGTATTTTTTTTCTTATGATTGAAGTTCTTCCTGTAAATTTCCTGTGATTACCCTATATTATAATTGACAGTTTGCACCAATTACAATTATTTGTCAAGCTATAACTTTCTTAAATGCCTCATCTTTCACGACTTCAAAATAATCCATTAAATGTTTGAAAAAAAGTGAAGGAAAATGGCTGTGCAGTCATATACATGACAAGACAATTTGGGACAGTTTCCAAAGCAGCTAATAAGAAAGTTTATTTAAAAGAAAACTCCATGTATGTAGTTCAAAGACCAGCTTTTGAATATGCCCAGCTTTGTTTCAGAATATTTTTATTAATTGTTGCTTTTGTAATTCTAAAATGCTTTTGGAATATTGGTGCTTTAAATGTGACACCAAATTTGAATGCATTTTTCTTCTATTATATGCATTCAGCATCCTATTTATTTTTATAGATCCCGGCAACAAATTTTGATACAGACATTTGCTGCATCTTTAAGTAGAATCATATTATCTTACTCTGTTAACCAGCACAGTGACAAAAAATACCTTTTTAAATTTAGAGCAATATATGTTGATAATCTCCATTTTACTTTCTGAATTTTATGAAACTAACCTATTCTATTCTTTCTCTTCTCTAGAAGGATAAATTGTTCATTTGTCATGTAATATCACTTATTTAAAGAATATGTCTGACAAGCCTTTCAGTAGCATTTGGTAACCTTAAAAATTGCATTCAATTGTTTTATTTTTGCTCACTGGTGCTAACCTTTATCTTATCACATTATGAATTTCTTCTGAATTACTCTCCTTTCCATATGGAAGATGTATTTTTCTGCCTATTTAAAGTTATTTCTAATTCTAATTTCTAGTTTATTTTCTGTATACTCTGGTATCTGTTAGAACTTGGCAAAGCAGTACCATTTTGCTGTACTGCCTTGCCTCTGAGAAATCTAAGGTAGCACTTTGTCATAGAAAAGTGAAACTCTGCCTCAACACCACAAATAAAAACTGATACCCCCCCCCCCAAAAAAAAAAGATGGGCTTCTTTGCTTTACCTTATCTAACTATTTTACTGGAAATGACAAGCAAAACAGCTTGGTGCAATATCTAATGTATCACCAAGAAGCGCATGAGGAAATATCAATAAAGTTTTTCATAGAGTCTTCAGTTGAAGTCTCATCCAGGTCTAGTAATTCTAGACTTTAATACTGTTTCTTCACTTTGATAATTATTTTCTCCAAGGCTTTCTTTCTGCATTGAAACTCATCTACAAGCCTTCCTTTAACAAATTCTAACATTAATTCTGCCCCCCTTATTTCTAAGCTTTTTTAACTGGACAATGTAATTCAGGTAGGGTACATAAAATAAAGCTGCCATATGTTTATCCTTTGTCCATAATCCCGTGCAGTTTTCCAAGTCAGCATTTAAGCATTATTGAATGTCTTTGTCTTTTCCAAGTTTCATGTGATGTAGTTTCATTTGAAATAAGAGCTTATTAGTCAATCTTATTCTTTATAAATTCCAGGACAGCTCCCCCGTCCTTTTCATTTGTTATGTGTACCTATTTTACCCTTATTAATAGACAAAAAACTGTTCATTCCAACCTTGAGGATTCCATAGTAGTGTCTCTGTGGCAATAGCCTCATTTTAATCAGCTTTTTACGCTTTTTTCTTCTACAGTTGACAATTTGAATTATTCAGTTTTATTTTTGAAACTATAATAAGGCTATCATTTTTATATCCTTGCTTAAAAAAATAAAATTAATTCATAACTACCAGGGGATAGGTTTGTTAAATGTACCTAGAAAAGTGTTCAACAGAACTTTAGCTGGACATATATACAAGATGACAATCAGCAAAATTTGGTAATGCAATTTATGCTGTCCTCAGAGAGAGAAAGAATATGACAAGATAAAAACACGTGAATCATGAAATTCTTGCTTGTATGTGGAATTAAAGTTGATTGCTAAATAAAGTAAGAATTTTGTAATATAGATGCATATCATGCATGAAAATAAAGAGACTGCTTATCAAATAATTCATCATTGAGCCAAGAGTAATCCAGGAATATGTAATGATTCCTTTGTGTTTTTAATACATTAAAAATATGTTAGGACAGTTTCTGGTGATGCTAAATACATGTGGACCTGGAAACTTCAGAGTATGCTTATTTGAGAATTAGATCATACTTTGTGTTGTTTATAGAGAGCTTATTCCTACCAAATATTAAATTAATGATATGATTTAATGGATCATATAAATCTGAAAATTAATTAATCAAGACCTGATAGGGGAAATGTTATGAACAATTACTTACATACTTATAAATTATGAAATATTAAAGCAAGTAGACTAATTTGTGTGCTTTAAAATAATTATTAAGTAAATAAATGGGGGAAATTAAAATGTGATCAGCTGATAAATGTGTTAAATTTGTTTGCTATAGAGATTGAATATCAAAAGAAATAAAAATGGCTGTTTATTAGTTTGAGTCTGTCCACTTTGTTACTACAAAAATGAGTATTGCAGAAGAAATATAAAGGTAAATGAGAAGAGGGAATTTAAGTATATATAATAAAATGAGTAGAGATAGGATAAATAATGGGTGGATGATCAATAAAAGTGGACTGAATAGAAAAGAGACTGACAATATATGAAAAGGAACTTAAATTTATAGCTCAGAAAGACAAAACACTGAATCATAAGACAAATATTTGAAAGAAGAGAGCCATGAAGAACTAAATGCAGCAAATATGAATCAATATATGAACACAGTAGGAGCAAAGATACAGAACTATGAAATGAAATGGTATATAGAGAACTATGAAATGGTATAAGCTTGAGTTATATTTCTTGCTTTTATTGTTCTACCTACACTATTTTATATAGCATTACTTTTTCTTTTTTATTTTGTAATTCAAGACTTACCTCAAATGTAGTAAGTTGATGAAAATACAGATTTTTAAATTATAATTTTCCATCATAAAGATAGCACAAATATTTAAATATGAACTTTAAGTAAAAGATTTCTTAACATTTAAATATAATATTTACCATAAATTTATGCTATTTAAATATAAATACATATTTAAATATAACATTTCAACAAAACATTTCCTTGAACTCTTTAGTAATATAGGAATACTAAAGTGATAAAAAGTGATAAAAAGTGAATCAAGCAACTGAGAAGTAGCAATTAAACAACATAACAGCACCTAAACATAAACCCAGCATTGTTTCATCTCTTCTTCTTCATATACATATACCTATGGCAAGTTGTGCAGTATTAGCACCACATTACTATAGAACTGAAAAGCCTTCAGAGAGAAGCCAAATAGTTTCCCTGTTAGAGTAATGCTGTTACTTACCACTTTTGATTTTGAAGGAATAAGTATAAGATGTTAAACTTTGCAAATAGGTGAAGCAAACAGTATTAACACTGACAATTAATATATGGATTAATGACAGAATTATAAATGACTTATTCAAAGTAGAACAGGAACAGACTAGAATGTACTTCAAAGGTGAACTATTTCTAAGGACTGATTTCTTTGACTAGCAGAAACTGTTACCATGCTTGGACCAGCCAATGAAAAAATGATAAATCCATTGTTTATCTTGTCTATTCAACAATTGAATACAATTTTTGTATGAAGATAATACAATTACATTCAATCGTATAGGGGTGATAATTTTACCAAATTTATATTATTGTAGTGGAAGATTGTCTGTCTTATCTATCTATCTATCTATCTATCTATCTATCTATCTATCTATCTATCTATCTATCTATCTATCTATCTATCTATCTCCTGTTTAGGATACATAGATATATACATACATATTCTGTTTAATTGGTATTCTCTGAGTTGTTATACAGTTTATAATTTATATCCTGAGGAATATGCTATACCGTATGCCTCCAGTTGCAACTTCAGCTGAGGTGGCCTACATATTTGATTACATAATTATGTACAAAAGCAATTATATAATTTAGAAATACAATTATTTGAATAAACAGTTTTCTCTCACACAGTTAAAGGAAATGAATGTGTGTGTTATATGTCCTAGATTAACAATGTACTTGAATAGTCATGGTTTCCCAACAATTAGAAAGCAGATGTAGATGTGTACACTTTTATTGTTCTCTTTCTTACTTATATTTTATTTCAAAAAAGTATAATATTATTATCCCCTTTAAAATTGTAACTTTAAGTTAGTGATGGTAGTTATGTGGGACATAACTTGGGATGAAACTTTGAAAATATGTCAAATAAAAATTAAGAATTATTTCAATTTACTAAATGAAATACCTAATTATTTTTTGTAAAATATTGTATTCCACTTTATAATAATTCTGAATCATGCCACCCTCTTAGTTCACCTCAAAAATATTAAAAAGGTTAAATGAGTATTATAAGTAAAGGATTGGTATTTCTTATTTCCATGTCTTTAGATATCTGACATGGGAACATACACGTGTGTTGCCACAAGTTCAAGTGGGGAAACATCTTGGAGTGCTGTGTTGGATGTTACAGGTAAGTTACACCAACATAATGCAGAAAACAAAAACGTACTAGAACGAAATCAGGACATTCAATACATTATCATTGATTCTTATTAAAGTTTTTTATTAAGTGCAAAATTTAACACTGCACAAGCCTTCTACACATATAATGAATCTTTCCCATTTTCTACTCCCCCTCTAGCTTTCTAGCTTCAAGACCCAGTGGTAGAAGCCATTGTATTAGCAAAAGTTAATTCAGAACTCCATAGACAGGTCAGCAAGCTAAAAGCACTGTCTATAATAGCCATTGTGACCCTTCAGTATATTGAGAGACTTCATATTTGTCCCACCTAAAAACTATATGCACAGAAGGAAATATTAAGTCCTGAGACAAGGGTATCCATAACAGACCAAAGTGACATCAATATAGCAATATGTGTGGGATTATGTCATCACTCCCAAAGATGCAGTTATATACCAATATCACAAATGCATAAGTCACTGAATTTATTTCACATCATCACACACATGTAAAATCATTTTGCAGTATAAGCTGATGCATCCATATTTTTTCATTTGGGGAAGTTTGAAGGGAGATGGTTTAAGGGCAAAATGCTTTACGTTCAGTAGAACATATAAAGTCTACCCTCTAATCAGTTCCATCTTCCTATTAGGAATAGTTGATGGTTTCCCCTTTAAGATCTACCCAAACAGGAAAAAGATGGATCAAAATAGTTAGTCCCACCTGAGTGCTGTTTTAATCCTGATATCCTCAGACACGCATAGGAGGAAAAAGTATTGTTTTAAACATGTTTTCCACCCCAGTTTAGCTCAATTTTTCATTGTAGGAGAAAAATGTTACTATAAATGGAAATAGTTGGAATACCTTTTTCTTCTTCTCTTGCTTCACTTGTTACTATAGTTGAATGATAATGAAATGATAAGATATGTTATATCTCAAAAGTACTTACTTTTAATATGTTGTGCATCTGTTTAAAGCATTTATATAACTACAAAATTATTTCAAATAATTTAAATTGTCCTTTAGTAAACAACATGTAAAATCCAATTTGCATTCTGTAGAATTTGGAGGAGCAGCAGTTAGCAAAAATTATGATTTAAATGATCTTCCTGGCGCACCATCCAAACCTCAGGTCACTGATGTCACTAAGAACAGTGTCACCTTGTCTTGGCAGCCAGGCACACCTGGGAACTTACCAACAAGTGCATATATCATTGAGGCTTTTAGGTAGGTTAAAATGTATTACTGTTATAATCCTTTGCATTTTTGAACAAAATTCATTCCAAAGTTTTAGCTAATGTCAGAAATTTAAAAAACGTGGGTGCTTTTAATGTAATTAAATTGTATTTTGTTCTACATAGTTTTAAAATGTTTCAAACATTTGATTTAAACTTTTCAGATGAGTTTATGACTAAAATTTATAAAAATCTTTAAAATGTTTTTACCAACATGTTGATAATGGATGAAGAAGAAACGTAAACATTTTTCAGCATTCTTTGCCAATATCAACAAAATCTAGTGTTGGAGCTAAATATAGGGCTGATACCTCAATAGTCACTTATCTTTTTTTATTCTTTTAAATTTATTTATTGATGATGTGGACTGAATATAGAGAGAGCTATCTCCTGTTTACCTAACCTTCTTGTGTTACCTGATAAGATCTACCAAGATGGACTTTCCTTTGATTGAAGGACCAGATTAGGGAGAGGTCATAATTAAGCGATCTATCTATATGGTCATTAAGAGTTGACAATAATGTGATGCTACATAATCAATCACATGTTAGGAGTTTTGTGCTTCTAATTAATTTAGAATCTATCATAGTTTCAGTTGGTCTTGCTAGCACATTTTATGATGTTTTATTTGTCTTTAACAGCAGATAGAAACATATCCTTGACCATTGTTTTAAGGTATGTGATTTTAGCTATAGTATTCCAATTCATTTTCATTTCAGCCAGTTGGTGAGCAATAGCTGGCAAACAGTGGCTAATCATGTTAGAACAATTCCTTACACTGTGAGAGGACTCCGTCCAAATACCATCTACCTGTTTATGGTGAGAGCTATCAATTCACAAGGGTTGAGTGATCCCAGCACCATGTCAGATCCTGTCCGAACCCAAGGTAACTTGAATTTATTTCTCAGGCAGCCTATTTGAAGTTAATTATAATATGCAATGCATATGCAAATGTAGAAATATTACATGTGAATGTATATCCCTGGAGTGTATATTAATATGTGTACACAGTAGCATGTAAATATACATTTAGGATCACTGAATGACCAAAAAATAAAACTTAAAAAGGAAGGAATATACAGGTGGGAAAAAATTAGGATGATATTTGCAAAGAAATCTCTTCTGTTACAAAAGAAACAGCCATAATATCATGAAGTTTCACTTTACTCTTCATAAAAATGGAGAACTTCGTTGCTTTCTAAAGCAGCTTTAAAGCATTGCTTTGCTCAAAGCATTGTCAGTGTGATGCAGCCCTTTGAAACTAATCGAATTAAATACATTATTTTTAAAGAAGTGAAATATAAGCCAAAACACAGTTGACTGTGGCTCCATATGATGACCCATATGACTTGGTGACACAAGTAACCCAAGCACAATATCATATGGAAAAGCATTTATACTGATAGATAATACTTTTATCAATATCCTCCTAAAAGGAATATTCCTTATTTGCAATTTTTAGGAATTTAAATCTGCCTACCCAGTTCAAAAATTTCTATTAATTTTTAAATATTTTCTTCTTGCCTGATATATATATGTTCATATCAGCCTATCTAAGTTAAAATATATTTTATTGTAACTACTGAAACCCTATAGCTACTATCTGAATAGCACTACTATCCATAACATTTGGGTAAAACATTTATACTATATTTGTGCAGAATATAGTTACAGGAACACAAGGACTTCGTACAATGGTTGCATCATATGTTTGTACAAGTTCAGTTTCCATAACTGAAGAGTAACTAATCAATTATAGAAGTTAACAAATACCTAGAGACTCATATTTGCATATAACTATTTGAGATCATATTGTTATACAATTATACCTTGGTACTCAACTGCTTTAAACTCAACAAATTTGATACTCAATGCATTTTGATGTGAAAATTTTGTCCCGGTATGGATAGTTTGTTTGATATTCATGCACAAGCTAGAACTCGTCAGTGTCAGCTGTCCTGTGACTCACTACATTATTCCTAATGAGAAAAAAATGTTTGGTAATTATCATTTTTGGTACTCATTGCACCTCCCGAAACCAATTAATGGTGAATATCAAAGTACGACTACATTTAGAGGTTAGAAATGTCTCATATCTTAGAAAAACCTGGATATCTGGATACTATTCAGTAAGGATTCAGGTCTTGATATGGGACTGAGATTGCATTTATCACACTCTAGGATTATCTGTTTTAGAAGTTAAATTGGACTGGTGTACATCTCATGACCCTTTTAGGCCTCTTGGTGACTTACAAAATGTTCACAATAGTATGTGGCTGACTGCCTGCAGGAAGTTGGGATTGGAGGCATTCTTTTATAGTGATACTGCTGTTTCCTCAGTGGACTATTTGAAAAATATATGTTCAATATTTATTAAAATAAATTTATATCTTTTAAAAATACTGCTACTGTATATATCAGAAGTGTTCTATCTGGACCACACTCCAATCCCACTACTACATTGTTTGACAATAAACTAATTTCAGTAAGATCATTTAAGTGAAGGTTATTATGCTTTCAATCATCATAATAAATTGATTTAATTGGCTCTCCTTAGTAAGATAATAACTTATTGATTCACACCAATATGTTTGACCTGGCAGATATCAGTCCACCAGCACAAGGTGTGGATCACAGACAAGTCCAAAAAGAGCTTGGTGATGTAATTGTGCGACTACATAATCCTGTTGTGCTTACTCCTACCACAATTCAAGTGACCTGGACGGTAAGACATTTGAAAAGTATATGGTAAAATGTTTGATTGTTCTTAATATTTTCTTATTCTAATCATTAATTGGAATGGTATTGTGATATTTTAATATTTACTTTTTTTACAAGTAAACTGAGTTTTTTATTGACTAGAAGTCTGTTTTAGGATCTGGAATGGCATTCTCTGAGAATTCATTTTTATTTTTAGAAAGTTGGTTTGGCAGATAGCAGAAAATACTTTTGGCATTCTGACTGCTGGCAAACAAATACTGACCACTCCTACTTTTATTTGTCCTTGGAAATCACCTGAAAAAATATATATATATTGTTTTTCTGCATATTTCCTATTCCCTAATGTCAAGAACACTTGACATTACTACCAGTGTTTTACTATAAGAAAAGGAAGTAGTTTTATTTATAGACCATGAACTGAATTTCTTAATAATTGTTCGTTATTTGATACATGATAATAATTATATGTGACCTTTCATTATTTGCATTAAAAAGTAGATTGCATGTTGGGAATAATTTTTCTGATGAGGACTATACTTCTTTGTAAATAATTTATTGGTGTCACATGGTAACTTTTGATTCATGTATATGCTTCTTTTCATGTAAAATTTAGATGTATGTGTCTGCACATATGCTGTCTTTCTCTATAAATGGTGCATACTTATAATGTTTGCCTGCATGGTACTTATTTTGAATAAATACACATAAGAATCAGCAGGGAAACTAATCTAGCAGTTATCAAATATCTTAAACTATTACAATTGTGAGATGAGTGTCCTTTACTGATCCTGTAGAACAAACTCTATAGGTGTAATTTTTACTGAGATGCATTTTCTTCTTTTGGTGTTTTTTTATTATGTCAACAAAAAGTTAAGTTGCAATACATATGTGGAAACACCTGTGTGAAGTATAGTAAAGTAGATTATATTAAAATAGTAACATAGTAAAAATGATAATTAGCTAGAGCAGTAAAACCTTAGAAGATCATTTGATGGGAAATCCTGATTATGAGAAAAGGCATATATATAGTATTTTGAAAAATCCATTCAATAATTTTACTCTTAAAATTAGAATAGCTCAACATTTTTCAAGCCTTCCTCCTTTCCATATGTTTGATACCTTACTAGTAACAGTGCATTAAGAAAATATTTACAGACATTTTTAAAAATCTGTTTTCACTTTGTCATTATGGTGTACAAAGTGTAGATTAATGAGAAAAGAATGAATTTCAACAACTGTAGAATCAGGCTGCAGCATAACAAAATTGACAAAAGTGAAGGGTGTCTGAAAAAATGCACTGTACTGAGGTTAAGATTTGTGTGAGAAATAAAAAAACTAATTACAGCCAATGTTACACTTATAACTGCATAGAGAGATAGAATGTCTCATGTTGTATTTCTTCTAATTTTACTAAGGAGAATCCCTTAAAACAAAAAATATTTAATAATGTTAAAAATATTATTCGAGAGAAGTAACATCAGTACATCAGATTTCAGGTCTCTTATTTATGAAATTATGAAATGATACCCATGAATCATTTCATAACTATGGGTAACAAAAAAAATCTTATTTAAGATTCTATTAAAAGTTTTTTTTTCTTCTTTGTACAGAAGTTTTGCTATTTTATTCATTTGTATCCAGTCTTTAGATCTTAGCTATACAGTTCGGTTTTTATATGATTTTGATTCAGGAAACAAAAAACTGTTTTTTCAGTTATGCTCTTTTTTTTCTCCTCCTCCTTCTCCTGGACCTCCTATAAATTGGATCATCTGGACTCCTTCTAATTATGTTTCAGGCTAAAATAGATATACAAGGCAATTTTGGTCCTGCTTGTAGATGACCTGTGGTGGATGTTGAATGAGATACTGTATCATTGATTTGTTGACAGACTTCAATACTATCAATATGATATCTTTCTGGACATTGTTAGAGGCTTGGCAACTGAGCGCCCTGTTCCTTCAGGGCATTTCCAGTCAGTATTGGTGGGGGAGAGCAGTCTAATCCTTGACCCCTATTTTTCAAGAGGTCTGTCTCCTCTTTTCTTTAATATATACATGAAGCCACAGGGAAAGGCCGTGGCATGAGGTTGTACATATCTGTTTTTGAGTGCACAGGTGAAGTTCTGTTCCAATGTTTGGAGACAGTGTTAATGGAAATGGGAAAGAATATAGTTTGGCTTAATCCTACCAAAATCTAGTAATTGTAGGTTTTGCATTCCACTGGAGAGATTTCATCCTTTAGTCTGAATGAGGTTGAACTATTACATTTGATTCAGTATACAATACAAGAGAAGCATGATGGCTTAGTGGTTAAAGACAGCTGGAAAGCTGACAGTCTGTATTCAAGACTCAAGAGCCATACAATGGGCTGACCTGCCCACCAAGCCATTCAAAAGCATGCAAATGTGATAAATAGGTGCCACTTCAGTGGGAAGGTAACAGGGTTCTATTCACCCTGGTGTATTGGCCACATGACCACGTAAAAGGCTGTGGACAATGCTGGCTCACTTGATTAAGAAACTGAAATGAGCAGTACCCCTATAGTTGGACACAACTGGATAGGGGAAACCTTTACATTTACCCTTATATAATTTAGGGGTCTTTTGGAACACATACCTCCTTCTGAGATAGCATGTGGCAGCCGTTGCAGGGTGTGTTTGCACAATTTCATTTTGCAACTTGATTGAACCCATTCATGGAACTCAGCTTGCAATTTTTCATGTCTTAATCATCCCTGAAATAGATAATTGCATTGAGTTCTAGAAGAGGTGGCCCTTGAAGACTATTCAAAAACTTCGGTTAGTGTATTTTCTAAAGGTAAGTAGACTTTTTTCCCCTTGAAGACTTCCAAGAAGCTTCTTCAGTTCTGACTAAATAGTGGAGGATGGAAGGATTTATATTCCTCGTAGTCATCTGGTCATTATAACTAATAAAGAATTGTATGGTAGGAGCACCTGCGCCCGAGGATAAGATATGCCCATCTCATGTGCTTTAACAGGAAGAACACATTCCAGATCTGGATTTAAAAGACATTAGAGATGTTCATAGCAGACACTGTCTTTTGAAACAGTTTTGCCCCAGTCGTTTGACCCTAAACTTGCAGGCCTTCAGAGAGCAGTCAAGGTCTGGCTTTTTCTTCAGACTTTTACATCAGGAGTCCCAATTGGGTTAATTACAGTATATTTTAATGCTGTGCATCATTTTATTGTTTTCTGTAGCTGGATTTAATGCTGTGGTTTTCTTTGGTGTTTTGAATTTCTCTTTTTTTAATGTAATATAAAGGTATATAGCTTAGATCCCTTTTTTCTTCACTGCTTTGTAATTGTAACATAATTTATACAATCATCCAGAATATGTTTTTTCTCAGGCATTGCCTGAATGTTAGTTTTTCTTTTCTATTACAGTATTTGTCTTATGTTACAATTTTTCAGTCAAGATTTATATGGCAATTGAATAGTCTTGACCCTACTGGCCTTTCCCCAGGCATTAAGGCCCGGGTGTTAGATCTGGCATGACATCTTTTCTTATGTTGTTAGACAGATTAATAAGGGGCTTAGCACAGTTTTTTAATGGGTTCCATTTGTTTATTATGCTTTTGTATTTATATCATTTTGTTCACCCAGAATTGTACTAGTTAAGATGGGTGATCATATAAATTTGCAAAATTAATTAATTATGATGACACCTATAACTTAGCAGACATAAGATAATTTCTAAATTGCTTTCTAGCATTCTTACTGCAGTACATTTTATCATTTACTGCAAGTGTTAGTTTCAGTAAACTAGTAAGCAGATATATAGTATACTATATAGTATATAGTACACTATATTTAACTGAAAGAAATACAATACTTGGGTTGCAAGCCATAATTTATGCTTTCTTTATAACTTCATCCATCAATAGAGTAACAAATCCTTGGAAACCACTATCCAATAAAATGTAATGATAGTTATATTTTCATGCTGGACATCATTAGTGATGTTTTTTGGATGTCTTGTGTGCTTCATCCTTCTGTATTCAGTTTGCCAGAAGCAATACTTGAAATTAAAAAAAAGAATGCATGTTTTATATGCCTCTAACTGGCATATTTTGGGCATTATATAATGCTACATCAATTTGTTTTACAAAATAAATTTAATAGAATAATTAATTCATTGAGTTCAGAAATGGGTAGCCACAATTAAAAAGCTGTGACTGGAGGCAGCTGTCTGCAAGGGGTATAAATCCTTCCATTCCCCAATATCCTGTCAGAGCTGAAGAAGCTTCTTGGATGAGAAATGAAACATCTTCAAAGAAACAACAAGAAAGTCCAGTTGCATCCTGAAAAAAAGCACCTTTGGGACAACCATGATCTGGATGACTGGGAATCTCTACATACACATAGAGAGAGGAGAGAGAGAGAGATACTATAGTTTAAATAAGTTTTGTATTGTGTTGTTTTTCTCCTGAAATCAAAACACAACTGAAACATACTTTTATAATTAACAAGTTATCACTTTATAATGCCTTGGTAAGACCACACTTGGAATAGTGCATCCAATTTTGGTCACCACAATGTAAAAAAGATGGCAAGACTCTAACAAGAGTGTAGAGAAGAGCAAAAAAGATGATTAGGGACTGGAGGCTAAAACATATAAAGAATGATTGTTGAATTGGGTATGTCTAATTTAATGAAAAGAAGGACTAGAAGTGACATGATAGCAGTGTTCCAATATCTCAGGGATTGCCATAAAAAAGCGGGAGTCAAACTATTATCCAAAGCACCTGAAGGCAGGATAAGAAGTAATGGATGAAAACTAATCAAGGAGGGAAGCTATTTAGAACTTTCAGGAGAACTTTCCTGACAGTTAGAACAATTAATCAGTGAAACAACTTGCCTCCAGAAGTTGTGAATGCTCCAACACTGGAAGTTTGTCTGAAATGGTATAAGGTTTCCTGCCTGAGCAGGGGGTTGGACTAGAAGACCTCCAAGGTCCCTTCCAACTCTGTTAAATTCTGTAAATA